ATATTTTGGATTAGTATTTATAAGCGATTTTATCATTATCATGACGGGAAGGGATGAATACACGCTGGCTTACTGTGCGTGAGTATTTTCACAAAAGGGAAAGTGCAAATAAACTCTGGATCAATATTTATTAGGTATATGCACGAGCGTGGGTAAGGTAAATATACTTTGGATTAATATTTATAAGTATTTTCATAATTATCATAAGTGGAAGGGGTGAATAAACACTAGTCTAGTATCTATAAGTCATGGTTAATCTTCAGACTAATATCTAAGTAAGTGGAGAGGAAAAATAAACGCTGCCCTGATATTATAAGTGTATCCATAAGTGGCTTGATATTTGTAAGTAAATGAATTTGATCTGGATACCCATATAAGTAACAGGTATAACTAACCTCTGGTCTGATATGTATAAGTAAAGGCATAGTGGAACTTGAGCCTGATATTTATATAAATGGAAGGCATGAGTAAACTAAACTTAACAGGGACATTTATAAGTGTATATGAAGCGAGAAATCCATAAGTAAAGTCACGCAGAAACTTAAGCTAGATATTCACGAACACAGGAATAAACATAAGCAAGAATTTCATATAAATTAACTCAGGGATCGGATCTTTATTTAGTAGTAGTAGTAGTAGTAGTGGTTGTTGTTGTGGTGGTAGAAGTGTAACTATGAGTAGGAGTAGTAGCAGCAGCAGTAATAATAGTAGTAGTAGTGGTGATAGTAGTAATAGTAGCAGTAGTAGTACTAAGAGTAGGAGTAGGAGTAGGAGTAGGAGAAATAGCAGTAGCAGTAGTAGTAGCACTAGCACCAATGGCATTAACAATAGTAGGATTATAGTAGTAGTTATTGTTGCTGTTGTTGTTGTAGTAGCTGTAGTAGTAGTAGTAGTAAAAGAAGATGAAAAAGAAGAAGTAGCATCACTATCATGATACAATCTGCTTATGTTTCACAGAAAGCTGCGCGTATAAGGAGACAACACAAGGCGAACACACCAAGCAAACAACGGCACAAAAAAAATACAACAAGGAAAAATAAAGATAAAAGAAAACGAAAATAAAACTTAGATAAGAACAGAAGAAAAAGAACATTTAATAAAAAAAAAAATGTTTGAGGCCCGTATCGTTCTTCACCAAATGAAAAAGATGCACAAAAACTGAACGGCGTGGATGATGATGGTGAACGTCTGCCAATCGCCAAGCGCAAGGGCAATCCAGGGGAGAGCGCACACACCCAGCGTCAGGAAGATCATGCCAGGCACGTTTGCCATGAGGGTACGGTACTCGCTGCCCACGTACTCCAGAACTGCAGGAGAGGGGCGCTTTAAGAATTTCAGTTATTTCCCTTACCTTTCGCTCTCTGTTTCTGCCTGTGTTTTGTGTTTCTTTCTTTGCTCTCTGCTCTCTCTTTCACCCTCTTTATCTCTTTCTCTTTCTCGTCTCTCTTCCTCTTTCCTCTTTCCTATTCCCCTCTCTCTCTCTCTCTCTCTCTCTCTCTCTCTCTCTCTCTCTCTCTCTCTTTCTCTCTCTCTCTCTCTCTCTCTCTCTCTCTCTCTCTCTCTCCTCTCTCTCTCTCTCTCTCTCTCTCTCTCTCTCTCGCTCTCTCTCTCTCTCTCTCTCTCTCTCTCTCTCTCTCTCTCTCTCTCTCTCTCTCTCTCTCTCTCTCTCTCTCTCTCTCTCTCTCTCGCTCTCTCTCTCTCTCTCTCTCTTGCTCTCTCTTTATGTATGCATGTGTGTGTGTATGTGTGTGTGTGTGTGCGAGTGTATGTGTGTGTATGTATGTATGTGTGTGTGTGTGTGTGTGTGTGTGTGTGTGTGTGTGTGTGTGTGTGTGTGTGTGTGTGTGTGGTGTGTGTGTGTGTGTGTGTGTGTGCGCGTGTGTGTGTGTGTGTGTGTGTGTGTGTGTGTGTGTGTGTGTGTGTGTGTGTGTGTGTGTGTGTGTGTGTGCGCATGTGTGTGTGTGTGCGCGCGTGTGTGTGTGTGTCTGTGTGGGCGTGTGGGTGCACATACACAGACACACACACACACACACACACACACACACACACACACACACACACACACACACACACACACACACACACATACACACAAACACACACACACACACACACACACACACACACACACACACACACACACACACACACACACACACACACACACACACATACACACAAACACACACACACACACACACACACACACACATACACACACACATATATAGATAGATAGATAGATAGATAGATAGATAGATAGATAGACAGATAGATATGTAAGCATATACATACACACGCACGCGCGCACACACCCACAAATCCATGTATATGTGTACAAAATTCATAGTTTTCCTCTCCCTCCGTCTCCCCTCAGCAGCAGACAGTGGCCGCAGACACTCACACAGGACGAAAGCCATGAGTCCTTCCTGCTCATGAGTGATCCCGACGAAGAACCTGCAGGCAGCGAACATCGCGAAGGAGGAGCTGAAGGCGGAGG